AATTTGTTTTGTCAAATATACTTTGACACATTTGTTCTCTTATCCGTTTATCCCTTTTTAGCCTTGAATTTGTTATGAACACTACATTGTCACCATAATTTGTGATCACCTTGTACTTTTGAAACATAGTGCGACATCCAGGAATAATAAGCCCTTTCTTTGCAAGTGAGATGCAAAGCCTTAAGGGTAGAGTGTGATAGAGCAATCCTGTTTGGATCGTATTCATTAGGTTGTCCCAAAAGTTCGTGCCACTTTTAAACATTTTTTAATTAACCTTGTCAGGAATGCGTTCATCATCAATATAAGGACCGTCACTCCCGTTGACTTGCTGCCAACGACTACCGGAAAGTCGATACCGGTCTCCCAGGTCGGCAGTTTCAAGCCGAAAAACACAGTGAGTTCCATGTCGAGGTTTTTCTTTGAATCGTATTTTTTGTCTTCAGATGATTCTCAAGAACAATAGTTGGCTTCGGAAAGTGATCACCGCTGCTTGATGGATCTTGCAGGACTTCTCAGTTAACCTCCAAAGTCTAGAGCCGTCTCATTTTCAAAACACGTGGTCCCGATGGTCTTAGAGCAGGCATGCTTCGCTAAATCGTGTTAGGTGGGCTTTTCTCACCAGCTTCGAGCGTTGATTACAGGAGACCTGGGTTGTCACAAAGCCGAAGCCGGAAGAGAAGTTCCCAGTGAATGGTTGGCGATTTCCTTTTCATACGTGGGTCAAAACGTTTCCGCTGAATTTGCAGCTTTTCAGCCCCTTCTCATTGATAGATCCACTGGCACATCTGCAGGTAGTGTGGTTAGCCTAGAACAACCACATCTCACCAGCAGTGTGGCACTGTTCATCCACCGCGTTGGAATGGAAACAGGATAGAAGACGTTGACTGAACTCTTGTTACACCCTTTTGATTACTGGTCAATTCATGAGGAGCTCCTACAATTTTTTGAAGAAAGTCAGACCGCTACCAAGTGTGTGCCTGAAATATCTGACGATGAGTGTGGTCCCAAAGTAGCTAACTCGTGCGGGTAGCCTCCAATGGAAGAGCGCAGCAGTTCCGAATGACGCCGATTACCTTCCCTGGTCAGGATTTCTCCAAACCGTGGTCTCCATGGCGAAGCAAGTTTGATCAATCTAATACCGCATGGTGTATGATGACAAAGAGTGGTCGCAAAGCAGAGGTTACTACTGGTTTCAAAAAATTTGTGGCTCACTAGTAATTCATTAACCGAAGCGGGAAAACATTGCTCACTTCTTTCTCGATTTTGATAAGAAGCTGCAGGGCGGGCAAGAGTTGGTGGTAGATCACTTCACGCGGTAGACTCTTCGTAGCCAATTCGGTCATATTCAGAATTCACTACTAGATGAATTTCTGGGAAGAAGCGCAAAAAATGGCAATAATAATTGTATCTAACTCGACGTCACATCGTGGCCACTGAAGGAAACTTGAAATGATCCAACGTAAACTAACAATAATGAGTAAGGCCAACGAGACGAACACCGGCAATCGAAACGATTGTTCATGTGACTGGATGATCTTCCGTTGAACTTGTTGATTCTCCTCAAAAGCCAGCCGACTTCTAGCATGTGCCGTGAAGGACTTGGCCATTTGGCAACCTTCATCATCAAGCACGTCATACAGCGCAAACATGGAAGAATCTAGAAAGGGAAAATGGTTTTTGTCAATTTTAAAATATTGAAGTAGTGATAGAGAAAGAAGAGGTCAAACTTCACAAGGCGATCCACTTTTTCGTATAACTTCGTATATAGCTTTGCTAGATTCAGCCCTTCTCTTAATAAATTTTTTGACGACAAGCATGAGATGGGTTAACTAAATTTTATAGCAAATTTGTAAGTCCATGCATTAATTTTTGTCAGCTTCTTAACTACTGCCAATCCCAAACGCAAAAATCCGTACCGCCCTATTGTCCGTGAAGCTGGAACTATTTCCTGCCTTGCAACTACAGTGTTGCAAGATATCGCATCCATTCCGCAGTGGTGATCACCGCAATCATATCAGGTTGAGTATAGTTCGTCTTGGCTGTATAGTTATGGGTAGTCGATCCCATTTGCCATGACTGCGAACACGAACAAAAGGGGTCATTCTGGTAACGGTTGTCCAGTGTGGCATTTTCACCCTCTATCACAGTGAGAGTGTTCCAAACAGCTTTAGTTGTGTGCAGTCCCAAGCGTAAATCCTTTCCTATCGCTATTCGTTTTAAGCCTTCTTCTGTTGTTTCTTTTTCTCAGAGAAACCGTGGGTCTTAATGAAATTTATACACGAGTTGATTCTAGAAGGCGCCTGCCATCCTGGACCTTATTGCCGATACAATATACATTTCATGGCACTTATATGCCGGCAACATAAATCCTTCGAGTCAACTTATTGCAAACAGTGCCAGGCGATTGGAGCAAGGTTGGAAAGCTAGAGTAGGTCGTTCTTCATACGCGCGTTTCACGTCATCAGCACGCAGAAATATCCTTAGAAGTGGCTTCTGAAAATCCTGAGACGACGTCCATAGCTGGAACAAAAGTGGTTACGGAAAATTTCTTCTAAGCACCTTCCGTTTCTTTTCGATGTTTTCATTCCGCTCAAAGCATGAGGGCAACCCGTCGGTCTTCGAGAAAGTGCTTTGGTTCTCGCAGTCGGCATGACATGGTTTTGAAAACCACTGAAGTTCATCAACCATGTGAGAGTGCGTGGAGTGAGTAGCTCTCTCGAAATAGCAAACTCCATTACCCCACCCCCCTATTCATGCATAACACATATTGGTAAATGGTAAGCGCGTTTCAATATTTTTTCTGGCGCTATCGCAATAATATCCTCCGAACGTGTGCATGGTCAATTGGTGATTACATATTTGCTGGGACCTGGTTGACGCTTAGAACGCGTTCAAACGTTTGTATTCTGACCCAATGGCAGCGGTTCATTCGTACGCATTCCGCAGTTTTTTCTGTTTTTGTAGTAACCAAATCCTTTTGTGCACTTTATTTATTTGCATGTACGAAAAAGTACATGGGATAGCACAACAAAATAGTGCCAAGACGTAATAACACAACAAATAACATCGCAAGAAAGTATCTTTCTCAAGAAATGAAAGCATTCTCCTGGACCAATCCCAAGAAGGGCAGAAACATTGGGGAAATAGAAAATTGGCTGACGCATTCTGAAATCTTTTTTCAACTAAAGCTTAGCCCCATCTTTTTTTGGAGAACTTTTCGCGGTTTGAAATGCATTGCTACCACAATGCCCCCTTTTCTTGCGAGCGCGCTTAAAAGTCATCTCTGTTCTCTTTCCTGCCTTTGAAAAGCTTAGCCTTAGCTTTAGAGGAAGCATGCGCTCTTCTGCTTTGTCTCGAAATCACTGACTGGCACGTATTTGAAGTTTCGCACTTCGGCGCAAGCTAAAAAAATTACCCACCATCTAGGAGTTTGGAGAAGTGAAGAGCAGACTGGAAAGCAGAAGAGAACACGGTTGAGTCGCTCAACAGCCATTGGGAGGCAAGCTGTGGAATCAGAGACAGACCTACACTGCCCGAAGGAATCGGCATTCGAAGGAAAAACGGCAATGTGCTGGCGAAATCCACTTGTTCTACTGACTTAAGACCTTAAATTGAGCAGGTAATAGGTACTTAAATGAAGTTATCTGTACCCTCCCTTGAATACTTCTTGAACAGATGAAGTAGGAGGCTTTTCAGAACGATCACCTTTTTATGTTCACTGGAATA